GGTGTTATACGAAATATCGTTATACGCAACAGCTTTATATGTAATGGTGCTATACGTAATGGTGTTATACGCAACAACTTTAAATATAACGGCGTTATACGTAATGCATCGAACACAACGACGTCATACGTAATGTATTATACGCACAGCGTTATACGCGCACGTGTCGCTCCCGCCAAATGTGTGAAGTCAGCAACCGGTTTCAGTTTCCTAAGAGCTATGACCGCTGGACATGCGGCGTCACTATTACTGCTGTCACCATCTTATGGGATGTGTTGTAATAGTGTCCGATATCCTACCCTTATCCTTTGTTTATTATTCTATCCCTTCCCTTAATTAGTTATCCTATTCTAATTCTTAATTCATTATCCTATCCTTATCCTTAATTAGTTATCCTATCCGTATCCTTGATTCATTAAGCTATTCTTATACATAATTCGTTATCCTATCATTGTATTTAATTCGTCATAATATCCTTATCTTTATTTATCTTTATTATTTTATCTTAGCTTAAAAGTAATTTTTAAAAAGCGAAAGATTCAAAAGATCCACCTTCACTTATCTTCCGTCCAAGCATCAAACTGTTTAATTGGTCCAGAATTTTTGTTTAATTTTAATATTGTTTCTATTTTCTCTGCTGGATTATTGCCAAGAGTTTATCTTCGCATCCATCACCTCCATCACCTCCATCACCTTCATCACCTTCATCACTCCATTACTCATCCACTGCACCAATCACTAGTGTTTCACCTTCATCATTCCCCCATCACTCCCCAACATCACTTCCCCACATCACTCCCCCACATCACTCCCCCACATCACTCCCCCACATCACATCACTCCCCCATCACTCCCCCATCAGGACATATGGTCGCCAGAAGGGTGCTACCGCCTCCTTCTTTTTAGCGCCCCAGCAAAGATCCTTCACGTGTTCCTCTCATTAATCCTGGTGTGCTATGCTCCTGTAGGATTAAGGCTAATGTTACCTCCTGTATATATTTATGCGTTATAAAATTAACGATAGTTTACTTAATAGAATTAAGTAAATAATATATATATTGTTACATATTTTGATTACGCTATAATTTTGACCAAATTACTTGCTACCTGATTATTTAATTGTGTTTAATTGGATCAGCCACAATTTGGACTAAATATTCACGAAAAAAAAACAGATTAGTTCGTAAAATTATTTTCATTTAATCGGACTCAGATAATTGCATTTTGATTTTGTCTGTCTGGTCACACACGATTGTACCTCATAAAAATCCCATTACACGCAGTCCATCTCATGATTGTGAGGCAGGAGTTCATTGAGCGTGAAATTTGCTAAGGGAAAATACGATGCGCAGTGAGAAGTCAATACGAGTAGCAATGGGCTGTAACAATGTACAGTGTAATGTCGGCTGTAACAATGTGCAGTGTAACAATGACTGTAACAATTAGCAGTGTAACAATAGCTACAATACAATATACAGTGTAACAATAGTTACAGTGCAGTATACAGTGTAACAATAGCTACAATGCAGTATACAGTGTAGCAATAGCTACAATACAGTAGACAGTGTAACAATAGCTACAATGCAGTACACTGTGTAACAATAGCTACAATGCAGTACACTGTGTAACAATAGCTACAATACAATATCCAGTGTAACAATAGCTATAATACAATATCCAGTGTAACAATAGCTACAATACAATATCCAGTGTAACAATAGCTACAATGCAGTATACAGTGTAACAATAGCTACAATACAGTATACAGTGTAATATTATATTAGTAATAGTTATTTAGTGATTCGAATATGAAGAAGATTTACTTGAAATTTCCCTAATAGATATGCAACAATCAATTGAAAATTCAAGATTGATTTACATGTAATTATAAATTATTTGTGTAAGTTAGCATAATGGGTAATTTCTAAGTGAATAAAAAAATAGTTTTAATTGAACTTTTTTTTGTAATGGAAGTGTAATCGAATCATTCTTTGAAAATAAATAAGTATATTATTTAATGAATTAAGAAAACGTAACATAGGTTAATAGCACAATTTATATATAATTCCATAGTAATGTTATACACGTTATACATTTTATAGCGCTATGTCCGCTCTCTGCTTGTACTGAGGGTAAGAAAGTGTGTCACTATTGGTACCATATGACCCATTAATTATTGTGAGTGTACGTGTTGGTTGACATGGCGCTAATCACCGCGCGGCTGTTAGACCAGCCCTCGCTGAGTGATAACTGCGAGGGTATGGGCACAAGGGTAACCCTCATGAGGGTAACCCTCTTAATACCCTTACTGGTATGTTGGTCACTTGTCGAGAGGGCAAGGCTGGCCGCCCATAATACGGCCATTATGTGAAGGTTCAGGAATTTTTGACGCCTCGGACGTATGAGGGAAAAGAATTTTTGCGGAATCTCTGGTCTGGAAAAAGATTTATTTTAAACTCTAGCTAGACGACGTTAAAGATTTAGTCACGAAACTTTAAGATTACATCATAAAATTTTAGGTGAAAATTTTAAATTTTTACTCAAGCTACACTACATGACAGATTGCTTCAAAAAATATCGAGATAAAATTTTTAATTTCTATTCAAGCCACACTACTTTAAAAAGTTTTCTAAAAATTTTGGAACAAAATTTTTACTTTGCACCCAAACCACGGCCGTCGTTTCTAATACCAAACATTATCAGTTTATATTATTTTGTTCAGTTTAATATCGTTTAATATCTCTGTTAACATCGGTCAAAACTGGATAGTTATTTTATGGATGAACAAGTTACTGGGTAATTTAAATGCATTAAAAATGAGAATTAAACTAGAAATTTTTTTACATTGTTACTATTTAACATATGAAAATAAGCATATTACCTCTCCCACGAACGTTTTTACAATTAATTAAGTTTACTAAAATTATGACTCTCACTCTTCCATTACCCTCTAGAAATTCGTGAATTACCCTGTAGAGAGTGTTTGATGAATTACCCATGGAGTATAATTGATGATTTACCATTTACATAGTATCTGGTAAATTAAATTTTGTAGAGTAATTGCTGAATTACCCTTTAGAGAATAACTGATGAATTACTTGTTAGATGGTAATTGACGAATTACCCTGTTAAGGTAATTAATGAACTGCTCTTTTAAGGGTAATTAAACCTTTAGAGGTAACTTAACCCAGTTCGTGAGGCACTCGACGAGAGACATCTGCTTTGATTTTGCCCTTAGTTAACCCTCTCGACCCTCGTATCTCCCTCTGACGGTGTCGCTTGGATTGATTTATAGTGCGCAGAATATAAATGATTTTAACATTTAATTGAATTTGAATTTTTACCTTCTTTAAATAATAGGATTTATTTATAATTTATACTTAATTGCTGCAATTATAATGCAATTTAATCAACTTGTAATGCTAAAAATCATAGCGGTTGATTTTAAATTTAAATAAACTTGAATTTATACCAATATTTTCCTTTCTTCTTCTACTTGATTTAATTTGATCATATCTATATTATTAAAATACATTGATTAATCTAAAACACAATTAATAATTCTTTTACATTTATGCACAACTTCTTTTGCAAGAATTATTCCGAATTTCATCAATTAATAGCATTTTTATCTCTGATTACATTTCATCTATTTTTTATTTTATAATTTTAACAGGTATTATTTATTATTTCAATACCATAAAATATTATAATATCAAATATTATGTATTTAAAGAAAAAACCTCCAAGATAATAATATTTTTGACATGATATAAACCAGATTTTTATAATGCGTTGTGGCATCAAAATGCTATACTTGTTCAGGCAGCGGCCTATTGATCAAGGTAACTCTCGCCTGCATGGCAGTTATCTATGGTATTACATGGGTAAATACCATAGGTAATTGACTTTGTGATGTTATCACCTGATTACCGTTACCATGCATCGTAACGACCTAATAATAAATATTCATTGCTTTGAATCTAACAGAATTAGCTATTAGTAAGTTTACCAAACTTGTTGCATATTATACTATGTATATATCATATTATGTTACATATTATGTTATGTTACATATTAAATAAGGTAAATCTTGAATATTTCCTGATATTTTGAACTAATAATTTCGGTTCAAGTTCACCAGATTTACGATTATTTTTCTTTGATTATTTTGCTATATTTTTGTGCTTTGCGCAAGCGCATGTGAAGAAAAATATGTGGGGAAAATGTGCCAAAGAAAGGGGCTAAGTGAGGTAAAATTCCTCCCTGGGGAAGGAGCCTTCCTTTCCTCCTCCCCTTACCGTTTCTCCCCCAGGAATTGGGGACTAACAGCTCAGAAATAACTCAACAGTTTCCCCAACCTCAAAAAATTATCCTGATGAGCCAAAAGCGGCCGTTGCTGCTCGCTTGTTTGTGTTTGTAGCAACAGCTGAACTCCATCATCCCCGCCAGCATCCCGGCCTGCATCCCGGCCTGCATCCCGGTCTCTGTGTATCGGTCTTCATACCTGTCATCATGCCGGTCTTCATCCCTGTCATCATACCGGTCTTCAGTCCGGCAGTTATTTGAATGAAACGCAATTTACTTGCAGTCTGGCCGCCATCGTTCCGGCCTTCGTTAGCATTTCGGCCGTCCAGCTAGCCATCAAAATTCTGATCAAGTTCGATAAAGAATGAGATCAAGTTTGATCAAAATTGAGATCAAGTTTGATCAAGATTTCAATCAAGTTTGATCAAGATTGACATCAAGTTTGATCAAGATTGAGATCAAGTTTGATCAAGATTGAGATCAAGTTTGATCAAGATTGAGATCAAGTTTGATCAAGATTGAGATCAAGTCTGATCAATATTTCGATCAATTTCGTTCAACATTTCGATCAAGTTCGATCAAGATCGCGAGTTTCGTCAAATTACTAATGAGTTGTTAAGATCGTCAACATCTCATTTTTGTCTCAACTCATCAATGCCAATTTTTAATTCACAATTTTTGGTCCATTACAGATTTTTCCTCAAGTTCTTCCTGAAATGCAACCAAAACTGCCTGAAAAATGCCGGCAACCCGCGGGACATGCGGCGCTTCCAGGTGAGTCAACAAGACTTTGTCACACTCATTCCTCTGAGTGTAACAACACTCGTAACCAAGACTTTGTCACACTCATTCCTCTGAGTGTAACAACACTCGTAAACAAGACTTTGTCACACTCATTCCTCTGATTGTGACAACACTCGTATAACAAGACTTTGTCACACTCATTCCTCTGAGTGTAACAACACTCGTAAACAAGACTTTGTCACACTCATGACTCTGAGTGTGACAACACTCGTATAACAACGCCTATCAATTTGTCCACGTAGCGATGCACTGCCCTATCTTTGGTTCACCATGGTCCATCTTGGTTCTGCATTTCAGTGCTACGAGCAGAAAGTGTGTCACTATTTGGACAACATGATCCATGCATTTTTCTTAATGGTAATGGCTCTGATAATTCCCCTTTCTTCGGGAATATTTCGTGTAACATTTTAATGTCTGTACATAATTATCTAGTGCATTTTTTCTGTTTATTATCTTTTTCATTGAATCATTGTATATCAAAATCATCGGCATCATTATACTGTCTATCGTTATTTTTCATCGCGGTATTGTGCATCACTTGTACTTATTTCGTTACTTGTTTTTTTTATAGTTGCAATTTGTATGTCATGCGTTTCATTGTATAACATCTTTTGTATTGATACCGCACTATCACCTTATCTCTATTTCCGATAGTCGTTACATTTCGTTCATAATTTAAGTTTTCAGGAAGCTATCACGTCGAGCTAAATTTGTCGTGTCTATTTATAACGTTAAAAAATTACATTTACATTTTTTTGCAAATAATATTTTCAAAGTCACATTTTGGCAAGTTTCCATGTTGTGGACAGATACCAAAATCCTAATCAGAATAATTCAAAGTTTCGACGGCATAATTACATTTTTGTAGAATTCACATAGAAATTAAAAAAAAACAGGCGTTCTTTGCAAAATCATTTCTTTCATTTTATATTAATTTACATGTTGATATTTTAGCCAATATACTCATTGTCTTGCATGGCGCCACTCCGTCGCGTTAGTATTAACATATTGCCTAAACTTTACACTTTTTCTTCACATGCGAATAAAACAAGTAGGTACACACGCTTTTAATTTAACCAACGTGCATTCATTTATACAAACACAAAGAAAAATTAATTGTATAAATATTGATTCAGTTTCTCAGCGCGAGTAGAAAGCGTTCGTAGCGACGATACGCCTTGTGTGTCGGGCTAAACTGGGTCAGGATGACCCACTACAGTGCAGATATTGCTTTGCTATTTGTACAAACTCTCACTAATCTCTCTGTGTTATAAGTTTTATTCCTTTGTAAATACTTCGTTTTTATCGATTTCATTCTGTTAACGCTCTCGCCATACATTCCTTCGCTCCCAAACTAATCCATTACTCCTCCACCTCCCACCCCAATCTATTCCCTATACTCCTCCCAAATCCACTAACCATACTCCTCCCCCTCTCCCTAATCCATTCCCCACCCTCCTTCTTCAATCCACTCCCCCCATCCACCCTCTTCAATCCACATCCCTTCTCCCCTGCATACCCATTCCCCCCTCCCTCCCCGAGGAATGATACCCTCCCCCAACAAGAATCAGTACTCAGGGCGCGCGCACATAAATTATAAGTGAAGGTGTTTACATAGGGCGGCCAGAACCTCAAATAAGAAGCCACGCAAATTTACTTTGACAAGACATCATGAAACTCACCCTAGTGAATGGCCCCTGTCATTGGGGCTGCTGGGTGCATCTATTCCCCCACCGTGGGGCATGGGGGCATATCGCTCTAAGTCTCCTCTTGTTACACACCCCATCCACAACAACCTTGCTAACCTACACAAATAACACACGGCTTTAGTTTTGCTTTAGATTATTGCGTGTTGGGTTCTGGGTTAGGGTGAATTATTGAGAAGGCTTCGGTTACCTTGACATATTTAGCCTTGTTACCAATGTTGAAATGATGAGACTGTTTCCTTATGTAACCTTTGGATATTTGTTAAGAGGTAAGACATCTCTTTTCGGTTACCTTGAAATATTTATAGTAATGACAAAATTGTTCCTTTCGGTTAATCCAGAATAATTTGTTGAAGTAATGCAACACGGCTTACTTATCCTAAACTGATGTGGATGATTAGGACTGAGTACGGCAAATTGTGATGCTTTAAATAATTACCCGAAATGAGGGTAAATGCTCCGACTCTTACCCTGAGTTAATTAAAGACTGACAAATTAATTCTATTGATAAGATATTAAATAATTCGTGTTGAACGTGATTATTCAGGATTCAAGTTCTCTTAAAAACATTCAAAGAATATTGCACTGAAAATAACAGTTATGATTTGGTTATTATTCATATCTACTCATGAAAATTATTCCACTATTGTTTTTATCAAAATATAGGAAAAATTTTTTCATGTAGCAAAAATTCAGAATAAAAAATTAACATTATTTACTCTATAATTTATAACTATATTATAAACTTATATATCTTATAACTTCCCATTTGATTGTAAACATCTGATACAGATACACCACCGCTACACAGCATCTGTGTACATGTATCAAATAAAATCAACAGTTTGATTTACGATCAAAGTACTCTGCTTGCACACAAAATATGCGTATGTGTACACAAGAGCAACACTCATACATATACAAGCGCCGCTTGTTTACACAGGAGTGTGATCAGCCAGCCTGACAACTGCTGTCGTGCGCAATTAGCGGCGACGCTCTTTTCGCTTGTTTGCGTTCTTTTAACGCATTCATTATTTTCTTATTTATTATTTCCTTTCAAGTTATTTTTAATTGCATACTGATTCTTTAATAATAATTTATTTATTTATTAATTCTATATCGGATTATTGATATACGGATATAAAAAACAGTGCAGCGTGAGGAAAAGGAATGTTGAATATATCAATTAATAATATAATAATGATAATTAATATTAAATACATCAAGCAATAATGTAATAATGTCAAATAGTATTGAATACATCAACTAATAATATAATAATGGCAATTAATATTGAATACATCATTTAATAATACAATGATTACAATAAATGTTTAATACATCAGCTAATATTATAATAATGACAATTAATATTTAGTACATCAACACAAACGCACAAAACTAAAAAACTTTGTATTATTGCTTTTCACAAGCAAGAAAAATAGCCATAACTCGGACTATCATGACTATCACTTTGAAAACTTGAACAAAAGGGAATCGAAAAATGGTTTCGAAAGACAGCATATAATTTTTTTAAAGTCCATTATTTAAAATTAAATTGGGAAAAATTTGCTCAGTAATTTCGTTAGCGAATAATGAATGTGCAGGCTATTCCATTACATATAACATCACATATTAACACGCAGCGAACATTTTTTGTCAACATCTTTTCCCCGGAACCCGAGACATTTTTTATCTGAATTACAACATTGAAAATTCATTAATAAATTTATGTGCCGAATTTAATTCCATATTGCAAATCTCAGTCATATTTTATCTTTTTCAGCAAATTGTCGTACTTTGTCGAAGGAGAATTAGTTTTTACTTCAAAGACGCCAAAGATCAAGAAGATATTTCCATATTTACGAATGGCTACGAGAATCAATGCAATTGCACTTTTAAATTTTAATTTGTATTCTAAATAATTAAATTATTATTAATTTTAACTTAAGATTGATAATTATACAATATTATTTATATATAATATATTATTAAACATTTAATAAATAATTACTAGCTTTATATTTATTTTTATTAACTAATTTAAAGACCACCTCTAAAAAATATATTAAATTATAACGCATTTCCGTTGCCTGCCTGAATAGATCGTTGCCCGCGTCAATGCAAGCAAACGCCGAAGTTAGCGTCTTTATTTTTCGTTGGCGTTGCGACATCGTTAATGGCCTTGACGATAAACTTATCGTTGCGATAAGCGTGGTATCGTTGCGATAAGAGTAGCGCCGTCCCAGCGAGCGGTTACCGACATGAGCTTGCGATACCTTATCGTGCGTCACACCATGTCGAGCGTTATGCCATACTTCTTTTAATGTGTCAATAACGTTAATATAACGTTGCTAGCATAACGTTGTTTGCATAACGTTCTTAATATAACGTTGTTAGCATAACGTTGTTAGCATAACGTGGTTAGCATAACGTTCTTAATATAACGTTGTTAGCATAACGTGGTTAGCATAACGTTCTTAATATAACGTTGTTAGCATAACGTTGTTAGCATAACGTGGTTAGCATAACGTTCTTAATATGTTGTTAGCATAACGTGGTTAGCATAACGTTGTTTACATAATGTTCTTAATATAACGTTGATAGCATAACGTTGTGAGCATAACGTTGTTATCATATCGTTGTTAGCATAACGTTGTTTGCATAACGTTGTTAACATAACGTTGTTAACATAACGTTGTTAGAATAACGTTGTTAATATTGTGATTGTTTAAACGCGAGGTTGCATGTTGAAAAGAAGTGAAAGCCATAAAGAACTTTAAAGGGAATTAAAAATGTAGCGACGTGTGATCATGTTTGCATGAAATGTCGTGCGATGTTTTAATCTCAATAATACGACGTGTTGATGATATTTCCATGCTACGTATACTTCGTAGTTTAACTTCTTAATCTTACCTTTCACACTAACTTAATAAGACTACATATATACCTCCTCACATCTACTTCACACCACACGCCATTCTTCTACATATCTCTTTTCCCTCAATTAACCTAGCTTATTCCTCGCTTCACTTGCTCCTTTTTAATATTCCTTTTAATCATTTCCTTCGCATTTGCTTTCTCATTTATCTTCCTCCCTCTCGATTCTACTCCTCCCGATTCTACTCCTCCCGATTCTACTCCTCCCGATTCTACTCCTCCTGATTCTACTCCTCCCGATTCTACTCCTCCCGATTCTACTCCTCCCGATTCTACACCTCATAATTCCACTTTTCCTAAGTAGAAGCGACAAGCAGAGGGTTGAACCCGCCGATGACCTCTCGTGCTTGGCATAGCTAAGCCCTCAACCTCCAACCCTCAGCCCTCCAACCCCCTAGATAACTTCACTCATATACTATGCCACATTTAATATATCTCAGACTCTATAATTGTCTGCTGGGGCGCACTTTTTGGATTGCGTGGTTAAGAAATTAATATCTATTTTCAAGGAAAAATTCATCAACAGATGAGTTGATTTTACGAAGGGAATGCATGTGAAGCGTGGATATTATATCATAATAATGTTTGATAAGCATCAACGGAAACTCGTTACCACACTTCAATAGCTATGCGCCCTCTGGCGGCGGTGAAATTTATTCTCAAACTAGTAGAACAATTATAATATAAGTAGAAGGTACGGTATGCTTGAGTATTTAGCCCCATTACGTATAGTAAGCACTCACTGCAAACTCATCAGCAGAGACCGTACACCTCAATAGCGATGCGCCCTCTGGCGGCGGTGAGATTTATTCTCAAACTAGTAGAACAAATATAATATAAGTAGAAGGTACGGTATGTTTGAGTATTTAGCCCCATTACGTATAGTAAGCACTCACTGCAAACTCATCAGCAGAGACCGTACACCTCAATAGCGATGCGCCCTCTGGCGGCGGCGTGACACGTGCGCCACCAAAGCTGTCCTGTGGACCGGAAATTTTGGCTGTTATCAGCGTCACCACGCGTAGCTTGCTTTTAATATAACATCACGCGTAGCTTGCTTTTAATATAACATCACGCGTAGCTTGCTTTTAATATAACATCACGTGGAGCTTGCTTTTAATATAACATCACGTTGGACGTCCTCTTATTGTAACACTTAATTGTTAGCAAGTGTCTGCACTTCTCGGGTTATCTCTGCGTCACGCGCCACATTGTTGGTGACAGTTTTCGGCGACGTACGAACTTTACGCCAATTAAATATACGCATTTTATATTTAAATTATACGCTCTTTCTGATTTAATTTTGCGTCGTTTAAATTTTACAGAAATTTTTTCTAATTCTACGGATTTTCCATGAGACTTTCACGCGCATTCTATGAAATCTCCAGAGTAATGTAACAAGCTTCTCACTGATATATTACGCAGAATCAGCTGGAATTGTATGAGCTCTCAGAATGAGTAATGTAAGTTTTCCGGAATTTGAACTTCAAGGTTGCTGTTTATGTCGCTTTTTTCAGTTGATATTAACAGTTTTGTCACCGAATTGAACAAATGTCTGGAAATGAGTTATAAATCTTTGTCCATCAACATACCTACACGCAATCTTTCTTCACTGAATAATTCAAAATCCCAATTCATTCAAAATGCTAACTATCGTTTGAAGCAAATCCAAATCGTACAACATAATCTCAAAATCGTTCAAAATAATCTCAAATCGTTTAAAATAATCTCAAATCATTGAAATGATAAAAATCATTCGAGATGAATCCCAAATTTTTCGTTTAATTCCCTAAACCAAAGTCGTTCAAGTGAATTCAAGAAACCCAAATCGTTCATAATGAACAAAACATTTTGATTATTCACATGAATGCGTCGAAATTAAAGATGGCCTCATTCACTGCCATTCACAAACATGAATCAGAGCAGTGGAGCGACCCAACGCTCTATTAAGCACCACAAAGAGGAGTGAATGGAGCTTCAATTTCTCTACCATAACATCCACACGATTTCAATTTATTTACTTTATTATATGTATTAAAAAAATAATTCTAATTTTTCGAGATTTTTTATCTAGACTGATTTTTTTCTCTGGTTTTTAGATCTCTGGAATAATTTTCGGTTTACATCTTGAGAATTGAATTTTCAATATAGGATTATTGAAGAAAATATCCTTATGGCCTACATTAAAATTTTGAGTTTACTTTAGGAAAAATGAAATTCAGCCTCTCATTTTAAGTTTTTTTATCAAATATTTCTCTGCCAACGATAGTGATATTGTATAAGATTTTTAACGGATTAACCCGTCATGCATGCGTGAATCTATCACTACTATAACTTTAAGATCTAAATTATTAGTAAGGCTTAATTGCCTCAGCGGATACGATTTTTCCGTGCTCCAGCTCACTTGGGAGCCTTCTATAGTGCAAGAATAGCTCAATCTTTGCTTGTTACTAGTACAAAACCTTGTATTTAATAAAATCTTGTGATAACCTCGATTTTTTTAATTTTGGTAACATGCTTTTTAAACTTTTAGGCTCGAAGTACCGTTTGACTAGATATCATGATTACCTCTACGTTGAAATAGATAAATAAATAGAAGCAAATAATTTATAAGGTGATAGGTAAATTAAACAGTGATAGAGGACGTTTTTAATTACTGTCAACACGAACTGACCTTCCTTGTAATCTGCATAGTGCTTAAATTAATCTAAATAATAATCTCAATCTGAATGGTCAAATATAAATATATACATACATTTATTACGTCTGTATCAGCGTTATTATAGCAACGCACATCACAAGGCTTAACACTTCGATCTATACATGATACTTAAATATATCTTAATTAACCTGCGCCTTGATATTCATTCTAGGATTATGTCAAGCTTTTCTTTATTAAATACTATGAAGCTACACCTCTGCTCCACCATTACTTTTCCTTGCTCTGAAACAGACGCCCATTAAGTCTGTGAAATAAAGCAAATTTCGTCTTGTCCCAGGGTCCTTTAAAAATTAGTCTACCAAATATCCATCGTATATCCATAGAAAGTATGACAGACGAAATAGGCGAAAAATATGTATGAATTTTTTTGCCGTTTTTTTCATTGTTTTCCGTGTCAATTCAATATCATCCCCCCACCCCTACCCCGTAAAAAATCTACCAAGATCCGCGAAAAAAATTAATAACAAGATCTGCAAAGTCATCCCAGAAGGCAATCTGTTAGCATAGCTTCAAAGATCCCGGACGGCCTGGGGTGCTGGAGTCCGCATTGTGTTGCGGATCAGCACAAGACTCATCCGCAGATCAGGGAAGATCTTGCGTGGGTTTACCAGGGCTCACACCGAGGGGAATTATACCCTTACACAGAGGGGAATTATGCCCTCTAAATGGCTGCTGTCGAGGATAACAGCCCTTCTGCTAGTCCTCGGATTCGCGGATTCAATTGGAAAAAGAGGGGAAGTTCTTACACGTGTGAGGGCAGCGAGATAGAGGGACGGTGGCCGGCGTTGCGTCAGGAATAAGATTGCAGGCACAAGTCAACTTTGAATTTTGTGATCTTTTGGTTTGTGAAGATTAATTGGTGTTCATGCCAACAAATTAATAAAAACTTCATAAAATGAATATAAATTATCAATTGAAAGCTCATCTGGCTGAAGTTTCCGTTTATTAGTGCAAATATTGAAATAATAGTGACTAATATAAGAATTGGCCTAGAGGGCTACGAGGAAACCCTGTTGATTTCAGCAGCGTCAATGTTGAATCATTTTTTAAGAATACTTACTTGCTTATCAACATCTATATTAATTAATTGATAATGTTATTCATCATTGCATAATCGAATTTAAAAATTTGATAAGTATTTCAAAGCATACTCAGGTAATAACGAACATAATAAAAATACCAATAATAACTATGTTGATAATTTCAAAGATAATTACTTACGGCACATTGTTATTTTCATGTATTTGCTTCGGTGACATGGCGAAGCTTGGTGCATGAAAATGGATGTTAAGTCATCCCAGACGGCAATGTTATTTCCTTATTTTCACTCTCACGATGCAAGTTTATTTTTAACTGATTGAAAAAGTATAGATGCAAGTTATTTTAGACTAATTCATTACCTCCTTTGAAAAATTACTTTGAAATATTTCTGCATCTTCCCCAGGTTGCAATATCGGCACAGGTGCATGTCATAACATTACTTATCTCTCGCCAGGTCGTAATATGGACAATGACACATGTTAAACATGAGTGTATCTCTCGCCAGGTCGTGATATAGACAATGATACATGTTAAACATGAGTGTATCTCTCGCCAGGTCGTGATATAGGTCGTGATATGGACAATGACACATGTTAAACATGAGTGTATCTCTCGCCAGGTCGTGATATCTACACAAGTGGACGTGAGTGGACCGCTACTGGCAGTCTCCGACAACATGTTCGTTCACAACAACAGTAAACATGGACGACGAGCCAAAAGAATAGACGCAACAGACACCATGTTCGGTGAGTCCAATTTGGTATTCTTATCTGTTGTGTCGGTTTGGCTAGAACTTATCGTAAGTGCCACGCTGATAGTAAGTTCTACAATGATCATTAGTTCTACGATGATCGTAAGTTCTACGATGATCATTAGTTCTACGATGATCGTTAGTTCTACGATGATCGTAAGTTCTACAGTGATCGTAATTTCTACGCTGATCGTAAGTTCTACGTTGATCGCAAGTTTGTCGCGGATCGTAGGCATTTTCAGCGTCCATTTATCAACTGAACCTGAAATAAATGATCATAAGCTGCTAATAGAAAAGAATAAGATTGAAGCAAAGCATAGTCTGAAAGATTGGTTTTTATTTTTTTTATTGTCAGGCAAACCAAGAGCAGCGCTGGGTTCTCAAAACCACTTTCCATATTTTACGAATACCGATACCGACGATAACACAGGTGGGCCTTTGACCATGTCTTTAAACGATGGTTCTAAGTTATTAAGTGATCATCAGTTTTATGTCTATCGCAAAATATATTATGTAAATTGAACGATAATGAACAGGAGTTCTACGTTATTGCAATTAAAATATCACTTTTTGATGGTATAATTTATAAAAGAACTCCTCATTTTCACAAATAATTGATGCACTCCATTATGATTATATATTAATAAAGAACGTAAACAAATAAATATATACATTGTAAATATTTTTAATAGTATATATCTTATTGTATTGTAAATCACTATTGTAAATCACCATGAACTAGATTGATTTTTGTTTTTAGATACTTTTTAGAAGAGCGCGGAATAATTTTTGTGCTAAAACTTCACTTTTCATCCCATGTCAGCGACATGCTACTTGTACACCAGCAATATCCTACTTCCGCATCATCAATATCTTACTTCCGCACCATCAATATCTTACTTCCGCACCATCAATATCCTACTTCCGCACCATCAATATCCTACTTCCGCACCATCAATATCCTACTTCCGCACCAGCAATATTTATAACATGACTGTCTATATATTCACATGTAACATAATCATGTGTACATTTCCGTTGTTACGCTTCGTATCAAGACGACTGTTTTTATATGATTATTATTTTATTATTATTAAAATTTTCATCGTTTACGCCAAACCTAACTTCTTACGTAACTATTTACCCCTAATTTGTACTAATGTACCTGTACATAACATTTCCCCCGTAACCCCCCAGGTGTGTACCCCTCAGGTCTGTACCCCCCCCTGCCCGCCACCCCCTGCGTGAAGGCCATCTGTCCATCAGAAGGATGGACGTCGGGGGGCGCGACGGTCATCATCGTGGGGGACAACTTCTTTGATGGTCTACAGGTCGTGTTTGGCAGCACGCTCGTCTGGAGCGAGGTGATTATTATTAATAATCTTCATTAAGTTCTTAATTAAGTTACCTTAATGTTTAATGAAAGCGAGGTGATTATTATTAATAATCTTAATTAAGTTACCTTGATTTATAATGAAAAATTTAACTCGGACTACATTCAGTTTAATCCAGGTCATTTAAAATTAAGCCAATTTTATTCAACATTTATTTTTAATTATTTCAAATACTTAATTCGATATACTTATAAGTATAATAAATTTAATTGAAATTTATAGAAAATGAATTGAAATTTATTTCGTACTATTGATATTTGAACTTTAATCCTTTAACTCCAATCAGTGCTATTATTGAAGAAAAGCATGCATCTGGAATTATCTCGTATTGATCTACTTAAAATAAGCAACAAATTCAGGCCGTCATTTTTTTCCATTACATTTAATATATTTTATATTTTACCTATATTATGATATGGGCAAATATGCTAATAATTATAATATTATTTAATATATTATATAAGAATTATACACATTATACATTCCATCTGTCGTGTATACAGCCATTTCAAAATTTTTATTATATTCAAACAATTTTCCTGGCAAAATATCAATGATATTACAATAATATTCTTGATTATTATTTATTTTGTAATGCAGCAGGAGAAACCAGATATTTTAATATTGGAATATCTTCGGTACCCAAATATGATAGTTAAATTTCACGAGAAGACTCCGTTGACTTTTGTATGAATTGTGTTGGTTCATCGAACTTAGTGTGAACTGTGGAATCTCGTCTTCCCCCTTCAGTTTTTTTATATCCAAAAATCTGATGGAGCTGTTTTTTACTAATTATATAGATTCTAACTTTGATTATTCTTCACTTACGCTGAAGAAAAGAGGTTCAAAAATCAAATATAAAAGAGCATTGCACCAGGTTTATGAATATTACCCTGGAATGGTCCCGTTTTATCCCTGCTTGCAAGTATTACCCTAACATGGCCCCGTTTTATCCCTGCTTGCAAGTATTACCCTAACATGGCCCCGTTTTATCCCTGCTTGCAAGTATTACCCTAACATGGTCTCGTTTTGTCCCCAGATGATCACACCCCATGCCATGCGGGTCCAGACGCCCCCTAGACCCGTGCCAGGCGTCGTAGAAATTACCCTGTCGTACAAGAGTAAACAATTCTGTAAAGGATCTCCGGGGAGATTTGTTTACATTTGTGAGTACATTTACAAGCAGAAATAGTGTCTCTAATCCTTTCAAATTTTCAAAAACTTTATTTTAGCAATATATTAAAAAATATTTTATGAAATTAATCATAAACAATAATGTTTATGTTAATGTCTCGTTAAACAACGATAGCTGCTGTAATTTCACTATTATTTTTTGCAACTTTCACTCACACCCCTCATATTTTCTTATTAACCCTGACTTAATCCCTCATTTACCCTCAGCTCTCTCGGACCCCACAATAGAGTACGGCTTCCACCGGCTGCACAAACTCATCCCGCGTCACCCCGGCGACCCAGAGAAGTTACCTAAAGAAATTATACTCAAGGTAAGGAGCTTATTTATTAATTGATTTATTCATTATTTATTTATTCTCAGCATTAAAAAAAATTAAGCCCGGATGTTTTCGTAGCAACTTGATATTAAATTTATATTAGGCGAGATTATAAAGCCTAGTTAAATCCTATATACTCGCAAGTCAATTAATTTGACGATACAGAGCGATGAATTGATTTGATGATACAGAGTGATGAATTAATTTGACGATACAGAGTGATGAATTGATTTGACGATACAGAGTGATGAATTAATTTGACGATACAGAGTGATGAATTAATTTGATGATACAGACTGATGAATTGATTTGACGATACAGAGTGATGAATTAATTTGACGATACAGAGTGATGAATTAATTTGATGATACAGAGTGATGAATTAATTTGATGATACAGAGTGATGTAGTTTTGCCGATGTGTGGGTCATCCTGATCCAGTTTTGTCCTACAAAAGTGCAGCAATATTACGGTCAGAAAAGATGCAACTGGTTGTACAATGTGGCCCATTAATTTTTATTAGTGAATTGTTACAAGTCTTAGCAACACAATAAATTAATAAAATAAAAACATAAATCTTGCTTTTGCCTAGTTAACAGAAACTAATTTTTATATCTAATTAGTAATTACATCCTATGGTCCATATATTTACAATGATTTTAGTACTTGAAGATACTTTCTCTCAGGCTTCAGCCACCTCAAGGATACCATCATTGATACCAAATTGTGAACCTGAATCGTCAAATCCTTATATACAACCACGATTGTTGAACAATAACATTGAAGTACAAAATGCTCCTGTATAATATAAATAGCCTATGAAGTATCCGTAGGAGTCTATAGAATGTAATATTTGGCGAGTATCAAAGTGTATACTTTAATACATAAATTATTATTGATGCGCATCCTTATTGTTGACAACGTAGTTAATGACAAAACTTTGTGCAGTCTCGTATGAATATCTGTGTATCCCACAATCAATGTATCTGACGATTAAAATAAATTTAAAATATAATTTTTAGTCATTTGAAGTGTTATATTTCTTGCTGAAGAAATAGTGTTTCTTGAAGCGTTATATTCCTTTCTTCATGTTCATTCATTTTCATGACAATTTAGCGAGCTGCAGATTCGGTCGAAGCCTCGTTCACAATACCTCTGTAGAGGCCGTAGACAAAAATCAATGTTTCTAATAATTAAAATATACCTTTTGTTATCTTTACAGTATAAAATCCAGTGTGAATTAAATTTTATTGTTTTTCTAACAATGTAGCGGGCAGCAGACCTGGCCGAGGCCCTCTACACGATGCCCCGTAACAACCAACTGTCGTTGCCCGCCCCGCGGTCGCCCGCCACTATGAACCAGACCGCCGCCGCCGCCGCCATGACGGGCTTCAACAGCTACACCGGACAGCTTGTTAGTGTACAGGACAGCGCTGCTAACGCCGCCGCCGCCGCTCAGTGGGGGGAAGGTGAATTATTCAATTATTTTGCATTGTTTATTAAACACCGTCTTATTTCTTTGTATTATGTAGACACAGTCTCATCCGGGAAGAAGGCGAACAATCTAAATTTTTTTAGTCAAGACTTTATTTTCAGAACATTTATTTACACCGGCCAGCTCGTCAGCGTAGAGGACAGTGAGAAGATAGTGAACTATCCGAATTTTTGGCTTATTTAATTATTTACAACATTATTTACATAGCGGTTTCAGCGTTTATAAGGCCTTTGCTTGTCGCAGAATCTTAACATCGCAGAACATTCACAGCTTGTTGCAGGTCTCGAACACGCAACTCGTTGCTTCAATTTTGCTGTGCTTTACAGCCCGGTCTTCTTGCCAATTTGACCAGAAACTGTCGCAGGTAGCTGGGATCGAACCCGCACCTCACTTTTCCAATCTTGATACTCTGAACTGTAACCACTGGGCCAGCCTGCCACAATAATAATATTAAATTTTAAAACTATTCAATTGTTTACAAGATATTGTTAATACGATATAACTTTTTATCTCCTCGAAATGGGAGAAGGTGAGCTGTTAACGCATTTGTTTATTTTATGTATTTAATTATTTACAAGATTATATAAACAAAATTATTTATTTAAATCTTGCTTTAATTTGATAATCATTATTTTCTCCACCTCCACGCGCTCGACAAATGGCAAATAGCTTTTATTCTTTAACGAAACGAAGGATTTCATAGACCAAAATAGGATGATACTACTTCGTTCATAATTAGAAGGTGAAATATTCACATAATTTTCAGTTTTAGTGAAAAATCATCATGCTGGTAAAAATTTGCCAGTGTGATACATTTTATTTTATAAATGTTATTAAATTTCTAAGATTGTTTACATTTTTTAACATATGTAGAGAACGTCACTCCGCAGCTTCAGGTGATGTATTGGATAGGATTCTGGAGAACAATAATTCAATTATCATACTAGGTGCAGATTAAATTAAATTTTGAGTATTTAAATGAAATGATAATGATTTACATGGGTGGCTTTAATTAAGTAATTAGATAAAACAAAGGAATTAATATAAAACTATTATTTGCCGCTGTGTGATTGAAGACATTTTGGTTTTAGTCTTCGATGTTTTCTTCTCATCAATTGCAGGATAATCGTTAGCAGTTAAGAATTATGTTCCTATCAAATTATTTAAATTTTATTGACGTCCTACGCTGAAATTTTCTTATAATTTCATAAATTTTTACCGCTCTCAAAAAAATTTCGTTTCAAATAAAGCTCAACTGAGTGAAAAATTGCGTGGGTCATTGTCCACATTGAGTCCCACTTTCTTTATCTTATTTCTGGCCTAGAACTCACCTTTACAGCAGTTCTCATCCAATGTCTGTAGTGTCCTGGGGTCATACCTTCAAAATTCGCTAAGTTAACGTAAATCCTTACGCACTAATTTCTTGTCTATGATTGGTGGATTTGGCTTGAAAGGCCGTCGATGATTGGCTGATGAACTTACGATCTCTTAACTTTTTTTGAAAGTATAGGCCCAGGACAACATACACTCAAAAAATGAATGGGTCATACTGTCCGAGTAGCGACACACTTTTTGCTCGTGTGACACACACACAATTTTTTGCGGGCCAAATTATGTCGGTATGGTTCACACTCAAAGGCAAAAAGTGCATCGCTATTCGAACACAGTCAAACTCATTTTTCTGAGTATAGTTTCCTCTTCCCCTCTGAGACCAAACTTTTCTATATCTCAGGTTTTTTCTTCTAGACGAACGGAGCCACAACAACGGCAGCAGCAGCAGCAGTAACAGCAGCAGCAACAGCAGCAGCGAGGCAGCTGTTGATGATCATGTCAACAACAACAACAATAGCAGCAGCAGTAGCAATAATAACAACTACGGAGATATCAAGAATCTTGAAGAGAAACGCAACTCTAACAGCAGGAATTTTTGTAGAACTACGAACCTCAAACAGGAACCTGACCCGCTGAAGAGCAGCAACCAACAACAGTTAACGAACAGATCCCATGAAGATTCAACAATGTCAACAGATGACCCTCTCTCAACATATTCATCACCATCAGCAACATCTGCATCACTGTTCAACACATCATCACAATTGCCTGTAACATCACAATCGTCACCATTAGCCGCCACGTCTCCTCCAACATCACTGTTGAGTAGCTGTCTCGTGTCATCACTAGCATCACAATCAAACTATCAACACCAATTTCAGCATCAGAATCAACAGTACTCTTCCCTCACTCCCCCCATATCGTCATCATCAACATTATCACTAAACGCACCATCATCATCGTTATGTTTAAACGCGCCGTTCTACCAGAACCAAAGTTCAGCTTTCACTCACCACCCTTCCTCTTCCTCATCTTCCCCATCCATTGGGACTACCCGCACCAGTTCCTCCAACTCCCTACATCCCCACACTTTGTATCCCAACTCCCTCAACTACGGGGCTACTTATTACGGATCCCTAAACGGCGGATACGGCAGCTCCGGACTGCCGAATTACGGGAGTAGTTACGGCGGAGCGGCCAACATGGCGGCCATGACGTCACAAGAATTCTACGCGGCACAATCTAGTGAGTCTAGTTCTAGACGTACAGTTCTGTTAAGGTAATTAGGGTTCTGATTTACTACTTTCAGTTGACTTGTGTTGTACTGCCTCTGAGTTTTTTTATAAATCTCCTGTGTTTGTCTATTTCCCAGTTCTACTATGTTGCTCTATTTCCCAGTTCTACTATGTTGCTCTATTTCCCAGTTCTACTGTGTTGCTCTATTTCCCAGTTCTACTGTGTTGCTCTATTTCCCAGTTCTACTGTGTTGCTCTACCTTTAGTTTACTTTGAGGGACTCTACATTAAAGTTTCACTGTGGTACTATACTTTCAAGCTCCACAGGATAGCTTTACTTTCAAGTTTTTCAAGTAGAAATATGTAATATAATATAATATAATGTATAATATAAGATAATGTATACCAGAAATATGCAATATAATATAATATATACCAGAAAAATGCAATATTATATATATACCGCATAAATGTGATATAATATATGCCAGAATCAATTCGATTAAGTAGAAATTTGTAATATAAAGGAGCCAAATTTATACATTTCTCAAGTGAATTATCCACACTTTCTTAAAATAATTCAAATAAAATGAGGTTTGCATGCACATATCGCAATAATTTTAAGTATTTTTCAATCAATGTCCATTCAATTAATTATTTTTTTTGCAGGGATGATGAGCAGCTTCCCGGGCTTTTAATATTTATATCAGACGGCAACGCAGTATCATCACACATCATTACGCACACTGCACCAATATCATTGCATTATCATCACTAATACCGGCAGGAATATCATTGCATTATCATCACTAATGCCGGGACGACTATCATTGCATTATCATCACTAATACCGGCAGGAATATCATTGCATTATCATCACTAATGCCGGGACGACTATCATTGCATTATCATCACTAATACCGGCAGGAATATCATTGCATTATCATCACTAATGCCGGGACGACTATCATTGCATTATCATCACTAATACCGGCAGGAATATCATTATTTTCCCAGTATTTTCCCCTTGGGTTCACTAATACCGGCAGGAATATCATTGCATTATCATCACTAATACCGGCAGGAATATCATCTAAACATCATCACTAATTCCTGTTGGAGTATCATTACTATCATCTCACCCCTTAGAAGCGGGATACAAGAATATTGAACTAATGATTAGCTATTGTCCTAAATGATGAATTGAAAACACGTCATGTTAAATGCGAGCTCATATCTGGGATCTGCTTAGAAAATCGACGCAATTTCAACAATCAACAACCCCAAACATAGCATTAAGAAAAATCAACCCAAACATAACAGTAAGTAGGAACTACATGCCTCAAGTCACTTCAACTCAAACACTTCAACTTCAACTCACTTCAACTTAAATTCCCTGCAAGTAAATTGTTATGTTTCTGAAGGATGAGAATAGTTACGTGATTTTTAGTTATTGAGATTAAGTGTTGATTTCATTTTAGCATTTGTCGTGCTCAGTAAAATTCAAATCTCGTGTGTGATTGATTTTGTACCGCAAACCGAATGCATTAAGACTTATTAATAACACACAATGCCTGTTAAGGCCTGTTATTTGCTATTGTGTATTAACACCTGTTAATAAGCCATAACTTTCGATTATTGTTCTTGACATGACGATTCACTGTAATAATGCACACATGAAAGTTATGTTTAATGAGTTTTTTTATTCAGAAGCACCATGTTCATATCTGTTCGGCGCGGTAATCTTCGGTAATTTCTTGAGTTACCGCTTCACAAACTCTTTAGGTTACTTTAAATCGATTAATGTGTAGGTTTGTTCAATTAATTTTTAGTTGAACATAGATTAAGCCAAATTTTACGTATGGCATCATTGATGGTTAGAAATGGTTGACCAACATATAATGGTTGACCACCATAGAAATGGTTGACCACCAACACCGAATACACTGTATTCGGTGTTCTTTTTCAAATGCGAGTTTGAACCTAATTGAACGGCTGCGTTTTTCAACAGACCTATGTTAGCTGTCTGCCGTTATACATGTGATAAAAATCTGTTGTTTAATGTTTACTTCGCATTTGTTACGTTGCTGTAGTATAAAATGAGAAAATCTGATAAAGGCAATCTCACGGCTCCCGTAATAAGCAACGTCAAGAATTTAAGGTTTCAGAATTTCAATACACGATTTGTAAATGACGCGGACGTTTTCAATTTCAGGGCTGATATTCAAATATTTTAGCAATGTCAAGATATCATGCAGGGTCAGTATCATTGACATGAACGAGAAACAGAGTTTTCTCAAACAAACTTATTCTTTTTGCTCGACACGTCGTCCTCCAGAAATTTTTGGCAAAATTTGACAAAATTTGGGAAAATTTTGTTCATTAAAAATTTTGTTCATTCAAATTTTGTTCATTCTGGAGTAATAAAGGTCAGTTACAAACAGGGCTGTTTTAAAAAGTTGTGTTCAGTACAATAAGATGCGTAGGTATATTGTTTCTATACTATAACATTTCACTATTTATTTCATTGGAGTTTCTTGTTACGAGAACCCGCTGGTCAGTGACAATGGACAATAATCTCAGATTATTAACACTTTCCAAAACGTATAACCTTAAAAAGGTTATTGTAAATGTAGAGGTTATATTGTTCGTCGGATAAACTTGTAAGATTATCAATTACAAAATAATCCGGCGATGTACGTTTCCGTTCATGTTTTCCTACAATGGCTTGAAAGACATCCGAGATTTCTTATGTAACTTGGGTGTTAGCGTTATGCTCTGAGCTGTGGACAATGCATGAGCAGATCAATGATTGTATTATATGTAGATAAACTATTTTATTCATATTCTCATATCAACATACGCACGCATTTGACATTTGTATACACTAATGTTTGATCATGATTGTTGCTGGCATGTAAATTAGCACGGGAACTACGCTCGCTTATATGAGGAAATTACCACTATTGACTGGGCATCATTCGAACCATTTAAAAATTGCATCATTGTAAATTACTACCTCATTTGTAAACAAAAAGTTTTTTCAGTAATTCAAACGTGTTCTTTTAATTTAAAACCTTTTTCGAAAGTCAGAGCCTCATTTCTGTAATTCCAACAATATTTGACAATTTCGACCACTATTTATATTACAACCTCATTTGAAATCACAAACTCATTTCAAAATTACGATCTTCAGCGAAAATTTCAGCGCCTTGTAACTTTTTTCACTTTCAACCAACGCGTAGCGCCTGTCAAATGCACAATAAGATAAAATCTTGCATTACTCTTGCATAAAAGTCTAAATGAAGTCCCTCAGTTTATCTTACCCACAACGTAAAAATATTAAATATTAATCGTTTCCGTGCTGCTATTTTTACCTAATTTTCACTTCATTTTGCCGCAGCCATGAAGAATCATGATAAATACGGTGCATGATGAATGATAGATGGAAGATCCCATTATTATTTGATTTATTATTCCATAGTCATCATTGAGACTCCCTCAGTAAATGTTTTGATTTACAACGCTAAAATATATATAAAGAATATTAAATTTCTGGTCAAATTGAAGAATATTGAAAACAAGATACGCTATGTACGCACTAATGCATAGAAATTGTCCGACCTAATGGTCAAATCAACAATAAATATTTTTTTTACGTTTTACAATCATACTAAAACCTAAAATTATTCTAAATTATTGGAAATTTTGGCTTATTTTTAATGAGTGAAAATCTGCTTTATTTGACCATCATTACCAACTATAACCTGGTAATCCCAAAGCACGAAAATAAACAATAACTTCATAACGTGTGTCTAACCCTATAAGGTTACCATAATTATAAAATATTCTTACTATTCTGCACATACTTGTTCATTCATTACGGGCGTTCAAAACCGTTACATATTGAACGCTCGTGTACAGCGCTTGTTATACTATCGCTATTTAAACTTCATAACTCGTCCTTATCTGAACAAAATAGTATTATAGGGATTATGTATGTCAAGTCCATATACTGCATTCCCTTGGTGTATAATAAACTTTTCTCTACCATCAATCATTATGAACGTGTTTTCTTCAACCATCGCGTAGCAACCAATCGTAAAATTGATCTAGTATGTCAGCACATAAAAGGTTTATTTTATTTGTAAGCAAGTTTACATTAAAGTAACTTATATCAGTAGTTTGCTCAAGTCGAAAGTTCACCAAAAATTTTAAACGAAATCCGCCAAAACGCCTAAATTATTCAACATTACTTTAATAAAACGCTCTATGAAAAATGTTATTTAACAACGTGGTGAAAAAGTAACCCATGTAAGGTTACGTTTTTTGCGAGACAATAAAATATTCAATAAGGACTATTAATAACTTTTATTACAACAACAAATGGATAAATCCTATGGTATTTCTGATACCATACTCGTAAAAACTATTGCTGTTCTATACCATACTATTAGATATAATAATATTAATAATGATAACGATAAATAACAAGAACCCCTAATATCGTGAATGAAATAGAAATTTTCGATGTCATCATTTTATAAAACCACGAAATTAGATAAAATTTTCATAAAAAGCGAAAATGTAGAAGCAAAGGAATGTCTTTGTTGACAACGTGCAGCGAAATGAGTGCATGGAGATAAGCAAAGACGTGCAGCTGCATGGAGATAAGACGTGCAGCTGCATGGAGATAAGACGTGCAGTTGCATGGAGATATCTAAATACGAATAAGGGCGTATTGTGAATAGATTTCGACAGCACAAAAAACTGTAAAAAATTACATTTGCCAATACATCTGCACGTACCCAGAAAATAATTCTTTAGACATTGAATTTATTTCCTTTGAAATGCTGAAACCAAAACAAATTACAACGAAATTGTCGCAAAATTATTCAATGCCTCGTTATTGACACCAACAAAATGAAGGCGGTAAATAAAAATTTTTTAAAATTAGTGGCCGTTATATTTTTTATATCTTTAAAAGAGCGTCATGGAATGTGGTTATTTAAATTGTTTGGTAAAGCCATCTTTTAAATCCCTGCCACTGATACGTATATTAACTGTCTTTATTAAATTATTGACACTAAAACAGCATCCATCAACCATCTTATAAAATTAGTGGTACTGTAACAACATCCATCAACCATCTTATAAAATTAGTGGCACTGTAACAACATCCTTCAACCATCTTATAAAATTAGTGGCACTGTAACAACATCCATCAACCATCTTATAAGATTAGTGGCACTGTAACAACATCCATCAACCATTTTATAAAATTAGTGGCACTGTAACAATATCCATCCACCATCTTATAAGATTAGTGGCACTGTAACAACATCCATCAACCATCTTATAAAATTAGTGGCACTGTAACAACATCTTATATGATCCCAGCCATTAAAGTAACTCGCAGGTCGCGGAACATGATGCGCGAGTGAGCGGAAAATGTCGGCGCGCAAGAGGCCGCGACATAAAGTTAGGCTGCGGTAAGAAGGCCCTGTGGTCACTCAGAAATTTGTATTATTTTGTCAAAGATACGATAGAATTATATATAGGCTCAATTGTTTGTAGTCTTGACTCAGTTCAGCCCTGAAAAAAAACGTATCAGTGCCACACACAGCAAGTGTGTCACTGTTTATGAACAATGTGACCCATGCATTTCCATGAGTGTGTATGGTCTCTGAGGACATCTATTGATCCGAGGGGAGCGAGAGCTGCGCCAAGGGAGTTCTCGCCCCCTTGAGGATGCTTCACGACACTTCGGTTTAGGCCTACCCCTCCTCACCCTTTTCCCTCTCTGCCATAGGCCTCTCTAGGGGGTTTCGTAGCCCCCGA